AAACCTATTCACGAAATCCCTGAGGGATTCCTTAGGATCCTGAACCACTCGATAGAGATCACTAGTGATCTTCTCGAATGTTCTGCTACAAGAAAATTGGCTGTTAAAAATATTAACTAAATGTGTAAACAAAGTAATAGAGTAAGGAGGAACATTTAGTAGCCATTTCAAGCCTGATCCTGCGAGGGTGGAACCAAAACCCTTGCACAGGTAAGCTTCCTTCAAGTGTGTAGGAACGGGGATGATCTCCATTTTTTCCCTGTATTGTCCCACATGTTCTTCAGGATCCGTGGTCCCATCATAAGGCTTCATGCTGGGAGTTTGGAAGTGCTTTGGGACCTCGGTGTCAGCGATTGCAGGAGCGAATCTCGAGATCCTGTGGCTTGTTAAGGAGACTTATGGTATAGGTTGGACTACTCCAGGTACACTTGAGATCATCTGTCATAGCTGTTGAAGTTCTTTGGCCATGAGCGGGCTCATTCCTACATCAACATCCATAGAGTTAGTAGTAAAGATATTATTATTGACGAAGTTACCAGGACCCTTGTTATCGGGAGTAACGAAGGTTTCTCTGGGATCCTGGGTCGTATGGGCTTGCTTTCTTGGAGTTGCGCCCCAAGCGGGAACAAAGGTCGATATTGAGGATCCTATCTCGCGGCGGTTTGCTGAGGATCTCGTGTTGTCAAAGTTTAGGATCTTTGGCTGCAAGATCGAGGGTGTTGCTTCTTGAGGCTTGTGGATCTCTGCCCTCATGCTCTCCACTTCCTTGAGTATTGCCCTGTTATCCTCCTGCCATTGAGTGACTTGTCGTTCCAGTCTATTCATCATAGAGAAGATTTCATTATTGGAAATCAGCACAGGAGGATCCTGAAATCCTTGGGTAGCGACCAGAGAGGTGTTTTTCTTTGGTGCCTCATAGGCTTTCTTGGGAACTCCCCCTTGGGGTGGCAGAAGGTTTTTAGACGAAATGGGAGGAGTGGAGGAAGAGGATAAGGTTGATGGGGTGACATGATTCCAGAATGATTATGAACACCTCGGCCCCATGGTGGGCGCTAAATTGTTTTGGTCAAAAATTTGATCAAGTGTAATTCGACCAAATTGTATGAGAGGTTGTGGTGTTAGTGTAATGTAAGTATCAAATGGTAATCAAAATGATACAAATGAGTTACAAGGAAAGCCCTTGATCCTTTGTAGGATCTCCGACATAAAACCTTGGGAGGTGATAATAATCACCTGCCTTGATGTGTTTTATTGATTTTAATCTGAGGTTACAAAGAATGTGAAGGTAATACGAGTACAAGAGTAATGGTAGAGCTAATTTTGTATGTTGTGTTCTAGATACATGTGTTATTTATAGTCTAGTGTAAGTAACAAGAAGTCCGATAATTCCGGGATCCTCCGGAATCAGCATATGAATGTTATTTGACATGGTATTCTGGGTCTTTTGCATGGTTGAGATGACTCTCCGTTGAGAATGGGTTGTGTGTTGACTAGTTTTGCACATGTGTAAAAAATAAAGAAAATATAGTCGTTACAAATGATAGAAATTTTAGTGGTAATAGTCAGGATCCCGGGATATGTTTAAGGATCCTGAGGCTTCAGAAATATTTGAGGATCCTGAATATGATTCACGGATCCTACCCCTAACACTATAATTCTCAATTATCCTATAATGACTCATATAACATCATATATAATAAATACACAGTATCGGGGTAAAAAGATACCTTAACAAATCTCATAACTCGACCCCGTATCTCCCATACAACGATATAACTCCTTCGTTAATATCTCCCGAGAATGATTTCTACTAGCACCTCTGACCGCACATGCCAAAACCCTCCCAAATGGCACGAAATGCTCATATTTATAAGTTGGGCATCACCACGTCGTGGTCGTCAATTCCTCTGACGATTGCCATGTATCTCGTCCTTTCACTACGTGTCGCTCTCTGGTTGACATATGTCCCGATGATTCACTCATTGCCACGTCGTGGTTACAAAGAATGTGAAAAACTTTGACTTTTGTTGACTTTCTCTAAATAGCAACATACTTTCATCTCAACTTCAAACGACCATAACTTTCTCATACAGACTCCGTTTTTGAAAAACTTTATATCCACAGATCCGTCTCAGAATAAACGATCATTTTCTTTCACAACTTCTTGGTTTAACTCTACTTATTTTCTGATACAAACACAATAAGTACATGGACCTACATATTGTATCACCGAATTATTATTAGTTCTATATTTTAAGTTCATCCCAAATCATAGTTATACCAACTACATATTTTAACTCATAGTATAAGGTTTTTAGGTCATTACATATCTCATAATAATATATGTCATTAAAACAGGTGCCACAGAAGGTAACCGATATCTTTTTGATTAATAAATCCGCCAATGAAGGTGAAGGTCATGTTGATGGCGTTGGATGGTAGTGTTGGAGATGAGACAGTGGTGATGATGCTGAGTGGTTGTAGTGATGATGATGAGTCTTAGGGTTTAAGAGGAGGAAGATGATACCTATACAACATCATTTTTTTTTTTTTGCATTTCTCGGAAGATTTTTAAGGGTAGCATAGGCTATCCCTAGCTACTAGCTAGTTATGCCCTATGGATTAATAAGTTTTTTATTATTATTTATTTATTTATTATTTTTTTTACCTTGATAGACACCTTGCTTTTTACTTGAGATCGACTGTAGTTAGTACACACATACTGCTTTTAACTTGACTTGTCAAGAACTTCCTTAGTCGTTTAATATTAAAATCATTACATAATGTTTAATGTTTATATTTATTAATTAATAAAAGACAAAATATAAAAAATATTCATTTCTTTTCTTTTTAACTTGCAAATATAATTTTCATTTGTTTTCTTCGACCTCAAAAATACATTTAAGACAAAACTGCAAAAATGGTCCCTGTGGTATGTATTTTTTCTGGGGTTTAGTCAAAACCTCAACTTTTTTGGATTGATGGTCATTTACTCCTATTGACCATGTTTGTACGTAGATTTGGTCCCTCCCCAAATTGAAATAACAAAATTGACATTATTATATATATATTTTTTCATTTTTTCTTTCTTTTCTATAAATATTTATATATATTAAATAAATATAAGGGCCCATATCTCTCTCTTTCTCTCTCTCTCTCTCTCATTGATGAACATGAATCATACTACATGGATAATATATTTTTCCAGGTGAAGACGAAGATGAAGGTAGCCCAAAATAAAATCGAACCTACATCTGTTCAATCGAACTGAGGTCTCGTTGCCCTTTCTCATACGCACCAAAATTCATAAAAGTCATGTCACCAACATTGTCCGCCGCCACCACAACCCCCTTCTTCCATAAATTGCCAAGATTTTACCAGGTGATACATCTTCTTCATATGCACTTGCTTATCAAGATCTGCCAGTTCCTTCCTTCTATTATCATCAAGAAATCGACCACTGCAAGGTTCACTATTTGAGTATCAGGAAAACCGAAAACGGTGAGCCACAAATCGCATAAACAATATAGAACTCACAAACCAACATAGAATCTAATAAATAAAATTTAGGTTTGTTCTTGAGCTCTTCATCTCCGTCGTCATCAGAAACCTCTCCCACTCCGTCACAGATCTGAAAACCATCATAAGCTTATCCCTCTCCGTCTCCAGATCTGAAGCCATTTTCTCTCCGTCTATGGATCTGAAAACCCTTCTCGGATCTGTTCATCTCAAGCCCTCCACACTTTCAGTTCTTGTTCCTCTAGATTTTTCGGTTTGTTCTTAAAGACACACACATACACACATATGAACACCATGAATGAACCCAAAATTCAAATAAAGCCCTAAATACCGTTTTTGATTTCGAAAAAACCCATAAACGATTACTGATGAACACACTCTATATTTCTGAATTTTTTTTAACACATAGAAATGAACTTCATGAATGAATCTAGATTTCGAATAACATCCCAGAAATGATTTATGATTTCGAAAAAAACCCAGATGCGAATTTTGATTTTGTATGTGTGTATTCAGTCCCATAAACAATTGATTTTTGGTATCGTTTTCTTAACTACTTTTTAGTTTGATTTGAAGGTTAGGCTTAAGATCTATGAAATCAAGAGAGAGAGAGAGAGAGAGAGAGAGAGAGAGAGAGAGAGAGAGAGAGAGAGAGAGAGAGAGAGAGAGAGAGACCCTTATATTTATTTAATATATATAAATATTTATAGAAAAGAAAGAAAAATAAAAAATAAATATAATAAGGCAATTTTTTCATTTCAATTTCTGGAGGAACCAAATTTACGTATAAACAAGGTTAAAAGAACCACCAGTTCAAAAAAATAAGGTTTAGACTAAATCAGAGAAAAAATACCACAATTTTTTGCAGTTTTGTCTATATTTAATTAATTATTTTTTTCTTATTCTTTCGATTTCTTTAATTTTAAAACTCCAAAACATAGGTTTTAAGAGTACCGGCGCGTAAACCAAAAGTTTGGTTTTTCTTTTCTTAAAAATAATTCATTTCTTAAAATTTAAAAGTAATTCGTTTAATATATTTTTAAAATAAATAAATCTCCAAAATTATGGCCTACCTTCGAATAGAAAATCCTTATCATATCTAGCTTCCCTCTACCATCTTCGCTGTCTCCTTCCCCCACCCACCCACCTCTCTTTTCTATCTGTCTCTCCGGCAACATCACAAACACCTTCACCCCAACTGTAGATCTAAAGTGGAACGAACCCTAAAGATTCTTGAATGACAGTTGACCACCAAATCCATTTCATAAACCCTTGATTCCATTTTTGTTTTCAGCTTCAACATATCTGTGGTTACTGATTGAAGGATTCAAGATTTGGGAGCAAATTAGTTCCTCCTATATGTTCGATTCACTGAAGAACAGAAGAGAGTAAATTTCTTGATTCGATCTTAATACCCACAAAACCCAGATGCTAATTCTTAAACTTGTTGATTATCTTTTCATGACTTGATTCATGTAATCATGGAATCTCCATTGTTAACCTTCGTTTTGTTGTACTTTGGGTTATTTTCTGTTTATGTTGATTCCCAACAACAATCGCCGCTGCCACCGCCGCCACCACCACCTCCTACCCCATCTCCCCCGCCACCACCTTCACCTCCACCTCCACCTCCACCTCCATCTCCGCCTCCATCTCCACCCCCGCCAGTGTCACCACCACCCAGATCTTCACAGCCTCCACCACCTCCAAGAAAGACACCACATCGTCCAGGTTCAAGCCGCCCTAGGAGAAAACCACAACACAGAAAACTCCCTCCTCCTCCTCCTCCGCCTCTGTCGAAAAATCTCAACTTTGGAAAGAAACTTGGATTCATATTCGTGGGTTTAGCCGCGATCTTACAGATTTGTGCGGCGACTTTTTTGGTAATCAAGAGGAGGCATTTAATCAAGACCCACGACAGACTTTAATCAGAATAGATGATTTGCAGAGTTGATTTCTTGAATTTAGTAAAACACACAAATTCGTCATATTGATCAGAGTATGCAGTTGGATTAATCACAGATTTGAGGGATCAGAACAGATGATTTGTATACTGGGTTGATTTCTTGATTTTATTTATGAAAACACACAAGTTCGTCGAATTGAGTGGAAGATGCAGTCGTATTATTGACAGATCTGAAGGATCAGATGATTGATTTGATGAGGTCTTGTAAATGCGTAATTCTTGTATGTCATTCTTTTTTCACAAAATTTTATTTGATCGATTTAGTTATGTTATATACCATAAGGAACCCTTTCTTTCCAAATTTTTAATCTTTATTGTTCTTCCATGGATATGTGAATCTGAGGTATACATACAAAAACTCATGCTTTAGGGGATCAATCATATTTTTGCGCAGGGCTGTTTATCTGGTTATGATTGACTGTAATTCAGAAGATAGATAGTGTTTACATTATTACATATCTTGCTGATTAATGTGTATAATCGCTTACTATTTGGCATTTTATTTTTTACTTAAGGTATATAACAAATTTTGCTCTACCCTTTTGTTGCAAGTAGTATAAGACATTTAGACAATTTGATAATGGTAAATAGTAGAGATGGCAGTTATTTAACCGAACCCAGTAGGTAAAACTGCACCAGAAACTTATGATATTGGTTTTGGGTCGGGTAGATGATTATGAGACACAGTATGAATTTTTTTTCTAAAAGTTCTCGGGTGTGGGATGGTTATAGTATTAAGGTTATATACGTATGATTACGGATTACCCGATTTATACTTGTTTCCATTTACTCAATCCCGAATAATTTATAATATTATAATAGTTATAATTATCTTATTAATGTATATGATTTTAAACTTACATTTCAATATTATATGTGACATTACATCCAAATCCATAATATTAACATAAGACACTTAATAATTCAAAACTATGATCGCAAAGTTAAGACCCGATACTCATGATGTTTTGTTCCGATCTTCAAGTCGAGAGTAGGTCCAGCCATCAACACCAACATTCAATAAAGAACCAACAAACAACTGGCTCTCGAGTTTCTATCACTCGTCGTCTTACTATTTCTCGAGCATTGATCCTCTCTCAATCTTATCATCTCATGTGTGGTTATGTTGTGATTTGGATTAGTTTATCATGAAATTCAGATGTTTTAAACTTTATATAATGATGATTATATTAAAATTGTGGATATAAATTGAAAATATTAAAAATTCAAGTCATTTTTTGAATGAGATTTTGATTGGATTTTAGGTAATATAAATTACAACCGGTCAATTTTAACTTATTTATATATACATAAAAGGTTAAAAAATTCGGCTACAGGAAACTTTTTTCTCTTTCATCTTTCGCCACTGAACTTTTTTCTCTTTCAAACGACCACAATAAATCTTATTCTTCTCTTCCTTCTTATCCCACTTTTACCACCACCGCCTCTTCCACCCAGATGTTGCACCGCCATGGACATCATTCATTATCTTTCTCCTGTGATTAGATCTATTCTCATTCTGAAGCTCCCTTTCATGGATATCAGTCAATAACCCTGCTCTCCTTTCTTCTTGGCTCTGCTGCTTCACCTCCGCTTAGACCAACGGTAGATAATTGCTTTGATGGGTTCCGATTTTGATTGTTCTTTACAAAGATGGAGGCGATGATGAAATTTGTTTGTGAAAACAATTTGCACCGGCAACCATGGGTGAACTTGAAGGCCGTATTTTGGCAAGGCAACTCGGAAGGCATATCCGATTGGAATATGCAACCGGTGTTTGCAGCCATACCGTCTTTCATCCCCTTTTTCTGAGCCTCGTCTCATTGAAAATCACTGTTATGATTTCCGATTTTGAAATTTCTGGTGTTTCTTTGTTCGTCTTTGTCTGTACTTTTGGAGCAGGGTGGTTTGATTTCCCCCTGATTTCTAGGGTACGTAGTTCTAAGTTCTTAATTACGGATTGAGTTATGTAAATTCTATACTAGCACTTTCAATCTCATTTATTTATGGTGTTATTGACAACGGTACGCCCTTCTTTGTCTCATGTATGTTATTAGACCTATATATGTTATTGGCCCCAACTCCAAAACTAGCTGACCCTGCTTTGATATTGCAGCATCATTCTCCAAGAAAATGATTCATTTATACCCCAAACTAATTAAGGTTGGCATTTGAAAGAAAGTTTGATAAAGCACTCCAACTGGTCGATGAAATGCTTCAACCAGGTATCTGAAATTTCTTTCCAGTTTGCTATTAGCCCGTGCTTTGATGATTTATTGTTACACTTGATCTTCATTTATGTAACATATATAGTTTTTGTTGGTAGTGCAATGTTGTTATCTTTGTTCTTGCTCTTTAAGTTCCTATCAAAAGACTAGGTCAATGCAGTGTTGACCGGATACTTCTTTATACTTGGGATCATCGCTCTTTCGTATGTTTTTTTTTGTATGTATCATTCTTTCATCTTCCATATTCTAGCAAACAACATGTTTGTTGCTAATATTAGTCTTATTTAGTAGTACTCATACCTCCTATCTATGTTTTCAACACAGGGCTACACTCTTACCTGCAATCGATCGGTTTCTACCAAACAAGTGGAATGATGATGTGATCATATGGCGTCTCCCGTATTTCCGGTGTATGAATTTTGTTGTTTTTGAGTAAAGTAACTCATGGGTTTTGTTCAGTTGTTTTAATGTAATTACATTTTACCATGCTCTTTTAATGTAATTACATTTTACCATGCTCTGTGATCTGTGATATGCAGAATGATATGTTTGTTTAAACATTTGTTAAACAGCTTTGGATGTTACTTTTGAGTTCACAAGGTCTCAAGTTGTTGCTGCTATTCCTGGTACCTTTTTTTGGCATGGTATGCTGCACAAAAACATTGGCTGGCTAACAACATTTTGGGTCTTGCATTCTGCATTCAGGTTTATATCTTATTTAATCCATTTCATTATTTTATTCATAACATGAAATTGATACCCTTTTTTTTATAAATGTCAGGGAATTGAAATGCTTTCACTTGGCTCTTTCAAGACTGGTGCCATTCTGTTGGTAAGGGCATTCTTTTTGAATAATCTCTTTTTGTAGACTTTTCCCATGGATTTGATTTGATGATGTCATGGTTGTTGAAACATGCAGGCTGGACTTTTTGTATATGATATATTCTGGGTGTTTTTCACTCCAGTGATGGTCAGTGTTGCCAAATCATTTGATGCACCTATCAAGGTAAAACATATATCTTTTTTTATATATATTTGTGAAATATGTGTTTATAATAAACTAACATAATGTTTTTTACAGCTTTTATTTCCATCAAGAATTGCTGCACGCCCCTTTTCCATGCTTGGTTTAGGTGACATTGTAATTCCAGGTATGGTATGCCCTTAATTTATGAATTTTTTTGTCAGTAATTAATGATATTATATGGTTATTATGTAATTTGGTTGATATTTTATTTCAGGGATTTTTGTAGCATTAGCACTGAGATTTGATGTGTCAAGAGGAAGAGAGAGCCACTATTTTAAAAGTGCCTTTCTGGGATACACAGTTGGGTTGGTCCTTACAATTGTTGTCATGAATTGGTTTCAAGCTGCACAGGTTTATGATGATACATACTATTATTCCCATATTTGCCCTTTATGATCAGAAGACTTAAACTGAATACATTAATACCCTTCAACAAATGTCGTTATGAGGTTTTTATCAAAAGGGTGTTGGTTCATGGTCTTTATAGTGAACGAATTTCCAAGTAATTAACGGTCTGTTTTCACTGTTAAGATCTCATATTTTTCCACTTTATCCCCTTTACTTAGCATCGTGAATAGATGATATTATTAGTTGAGATAAGACTGAACTTTAGAATTTCGGATACTATCACCAATATCACGTATTTTTTAAAACATTATGGAACAAAAATGTTAAAAAATAGCTATACTTAGGGACTAAAAATATAATATACTTGAATTTCTTTAAGAAGCCTTTGAATTGTCTTTGTAAAGTTCACTGTTTGACTTTTTTTTATACAGGGTCAACACGTGTGTTCGTATTATAGTCTTTATGGGATTTGCAAATACGGGCCGGGTTCCACAAAACTGGGGTCTTCTCCTTGATTGTTTTTTTATGAGGTATGAATGGACAATTCTTATCATACATATAATCTTATTGTTACATTTTACTAAAAAGTAAAAACGACTTTTTGCATTTACTCATGTGATGTATCTGCAATTACATGTAGCAATCATCTGGAAATTACGATGAGAGGAACTATCCAAATAGATGGTCAGGTAGGGTCATGTTTTGGACCATTTTGCTTCTGTCCTTGACTAGGTACATTTTTTTATTTATTTATTTTTTTAATTTTATCTTAAATCTGCCATTTCTTCTGCAGTTAGCTTTATTTTATTCGTTTGTGGATTTATATATGCTTTCCTTTTTGTGTTATTTACAGGTAATATGATGGGGTTTTGGGGGAATATGAAACTACAGATTGTTAATATTCAGCCTCTTACATTGGTGGCAAAAAACACATCCAAATGATGATGTTAAGGTATGTTTACTAGCTTCACTTAAATGAGGACCTTTTTTTCACTTACCTCATCTGACAATAGCATGGATGACCAGGATCATCCGGATGAAATCGTTAACCAAACTGACACCGCTAACATGATAAAGGACGTTAGTCAATCTGAAAACGTTGACTTTCAAACCAACACAGATGAAACTCCCCAAGATATATATATTTTATATCTTCATTTATATAATGCTCATTATAACCTTTGAATCTTTGATGCCAAGCCTCTGAGTTGGACTGGCGACATATACAAAGGTAAAACTTTTACGTATTTTCTTATTGTTTTGAATGCTCATATATAAATATTATTTTTGATGTCATGCATTGATAGAGGCAGGTGAGCTTATATTATTTTCTTTTTACAAGTTAATACACTTTGAGTCGAGAGGTTTCTAATTATGCAAAATGACATATCTGCCCTTTGTGCAGTTACAGTCAATGGTACAATCTTTTTTGATCCCATTTTGCCCTTACATTGTTTTATACATTATATGGCATTAAATTGGACTCTTTGACCGTATTTTTAGTTTTAAGTGTCAACAGTCTTTCTTTGAGGATGTGTCCGACAACAAGATGATAAATTTATGAGTTTTTTTAACCCATATATATATATATATATATATATATATATAATATATATCTTACGAGGATTAAACAAGTTCTACTTTGGGTAAGAACAAATTACAGGAAGTTACTAAGAAATTCGCTGCCTTCTTCTCCATTCAAAACAGATCAAAAATACAAGAGATAAAAAACTGCTCCTACTTTTACTATCACGTCTTAAGATAAAATAAGGAAAATTAAAAAAACAACTACCAAATGAAAAAGTAAAACTTGACAGCTGTGAACTGCTTTTGAACCGATCTCATAGTCACGTGCTAATCCAAATATTTTGGATGATAAATTTGTAAGCCCCCTCAACTAATTTCAACACTAAAAACCAATTTTTTTTTTTTTTATATATTATAAAATTTGTGGAAGTACATACCCTAAATCTGATTAATTGGTTTCAAACTTAACAGCTGTCAATTACTCCCATATCTGTATCTCATATGATTGAGGTAGATATTGAAAAGGCTGCATCTGAATGAATTACTGCTACACTTCAAACCGATAACTGAGGTGGAACTTCAAACCGATAACTGAGGTGGAGTGGAGTAATTAATTATTAATGTAGGTTGTATATATTCAGTTGATGAATTGATTTTATTGCCGAGTAGTAGGTTTTGTTCATGCTTTATTGTTCTTGAAACTGAATGCTTGGTCCAAAATAAAAATGTTTCTGTAAATTTTGTATTGTAGATTTTGCAACCAGTGCCTTCAGGTATATCTCATACACCCTCATAACTTCATACTTTATAGTTTTTGAACTTTCATTGAAGAATTCCACTTTGTAATTCTCATTTAGTTTCAAATAACGAAAGAAAATAAGATACACAGAGCCAACGGCGCATCTAATTCCATCTAGTTAAGATCATAACCTAGGATATCCGACACCCGCGGGTATATATACCCGTGAATCCGGTGGTTATGTACCAATTGGGTATCTGATGGGATGAGACCGGGTTTCACATAGGGTTTTACAATCGCTATGAGACAATAATCACCAATATATGTCCCATTAACATCCGTAGTAAATGGAGACATTGTAGCCAGAGGTGAACAAAATCGGGATCAGGTCGGTCAATAACTGTCCTCCGGTCCTTTTTAGGTCTTTTGCGAACCGGTCTTGTGCGGTTTTCTGGTCTAGACCGGTTCAGTATGACGAAGTGGCTTTAGATTTTTCTGGTTTCAGATTTGCGGGTGGTTGCAAAAATAGATAGTGTTTGGGAGAATTGAAGATCGTTTAGAATGAGAGATTTCGTAAGAGAAAATGAAAATTTTCAAAAAATAAATAGTGTTTGAATGGACAAAAAAGGTTCGGAAGTATGAGATATTTATAGGGTAATTTTTTGATAAAACAGTAAAAAACAAGCCGTTGGGAACCGGTCTAGACTGGTTTAGCTTGATCCGAGATATAGACCAAGACTGGAAAATAGTTGTTGCATTAAAAAACTAGTCATTGAGTGAGATCGACCTGGATGCAACTCCAGATTTGGACCGACTTAAAATTGGTTTACCCACCCAAACCCAAAACTAGTCCGATTTTTAACCGATTTGAGATTGCTTAAAGACCGACGGGTACATGAAAACGGAGACCCACCTGAGACCGTTCTAGACTATACTTAAGTTGTTTGGTTCTAGATCAATCCTATCTTAGTCTAAATTCGAGACTAGTCTAAATCGGTTACAATGTTCATGCATAGTTACAACTTACGACTCACAACTTACACATTTATTTTTTGCTTTTTTTTTTTTTTTTCATTTTTTTCATTTTTTTTTATATTTTTATTGTCTTTGCTACATACTTGAAGATACTAGTGTTTTTGTTTATTTTTGTTTTTATTTTTTATTTTTGTTTTTTGATTTTTTTAAATAAAATATCGGTTCAAGTTTTTAATATTTAACAATTATAAAAGTTTTAAATAAGAAAAATATGAAGGATCATAATAATTTCCGTTCATACTATTTTTGAATTATATTATTTTTGGATCATAAATTTTTGAATCAAATTATTTTGAATCATAATATTTGGATCATATCATTTTTTAATCATATGATTTTGGATCAATAATATATCAAATTAAATAAAGTTTTTGTTCAATTTTTTTTGGATCATTATATATTTTGAATCATGTTTTTTGAACATCTGAATATTTTATTAAAAAAGTTAGCAAAGAGCTAACGCATACTTACAAAGGAATGGAAAGAATCAGGTTTAAAAACCACACAATCCTACTAATAGAAAACTTCTTATTTCTGAAACAAACCAATTGTAGGAGTAACTGATCAAGCTATCAATCAACATACTCCTTTTCATCTTTTGACCACTAAAAATGATAGCATTCATAAAATTCCAAAACAATCACCACATAATCATGACAATCGATTCCACTGCATTTTTCTTAATAACAGTCAAACGAAGAGAATCGATCCAACCAACCACATCTTCAATTTATGAAAAATTAGGAATAGAAACACCGCACCATCTCCCAAAAAAACGTCCAAAGATTACCAGCCATTTCACACTTAATGAAAAGAAAAAAGATATCTTCCATATCAGTGTTGCAAATAGGACAAACCATAGAGGGGACATCTACACCTTTATCAACCAATTTCACACGAGTTGACAACCTGTTTAAACGACATATCCAATTAAAAAATATTTACTTTACGAGGGACATATTTATTCCATCCAGTAACATGATAACCATCCGGAAGAGAAATATCATCAATGAGTCTACGGGCCTCCGAAATAAAGAACTCACCAGAGTCGCCAACATTCCACACCCACTTATCTCTACAATCCGAAAAAACGAACTGAATGATAATGGTCTTCAATTCTTGCAGCATCGCAAAAAGTGTAACCCCCCTCCACTGGACGAGACCAATTCCAATTCCAATCAACCCCATTCCATCTTTGATTAATATAACAATCTTTATCCATCTCCGATATAAATAGTCTCTGAAACCGCACCATCAAAGGACTATCACCAGTCCACTGTTCTTTCCAAACAGAAGTACTAATTCCATTACCAATTTTTCGAAAAATAACATCCTTCGTGATTATTCCGGTGTCATGAATGTAACACTCGGAATCCAGAAGACCAAGAAAGGAAAGAAAACCCTAAATCAAGAAGGCTACTCGTCGAGTCCAGGGAGGAACTCGATGAGTAGAGGTGGATTTTGGGTCGCGGGTTAAGTGACCTACTCGACGAGTTGGGGGACCAACTCGACGAGTAGGTCTGGGTTTGGGAAACCCTAATTTCGGGCTTATGTACCCTATTTAAGCATCTCATTCTCTACCCCTTGGCCTCATTTACAGCCCCCCATTGTCCAGAACCTAACCCACGAAACCCTAGAGTTCTTATTGAGTGTGTGAGCCATTTTTGGGTGATATAAGTTGTTCTTGAAGCATAGAAGAAGAAGAAGGAGTTTGAAGGTTCAAGGAGAAGTTGTAGATCCAGGAATCTCGCCCCATTCTCATCACTTTCTGGTAATCAAGCTCCTATCTTGCCTTGTAGTTTCTTAGATCTCCTTATGGTCACCTTTATGGAGTTTTTGTCCAAGAAGTATGATTTATGAGTCATGGATGCCCCAATTTGATTATACTTTCAGATCTGAAATCGTTGAAGTTGAGGCTTGTGTTACTTGTGGGTTTCTTGGTTCTTTTGTTTTGGATTGGAGTAATAAGGTTGTTGGACAAAGATTTATGCCTTAAGGAGCTAGGGTTTTGAGCTAAACCTATTAAGAAGGACTAGGAGTGGGTAAAGTTGGAAACTTTACCCTTATGAGGTCATTTCCAGCTTATAGACGAAGTTGGGGTTCAGATCTGAGATGTAGGGGCTTAATCTGTTAAGATGACCCAAACAGACTGAGGGACTCAGCGAGTCCAGGGAGGGACTCGACGAGTCGAAGTGAGTTGTCCCGTTTCTGTTTATGTAGAACTCGCCGAGTTTGAGGATTGACTCTACGAGTTGATTCGATAAGTCGCGACCATGTTTAGCAAGGGAACTCGGCGAGTCAGGGGCTGACTCGACGAGTTGGATCGCGATCTCAGGATTATGAGTTTTAGAACTCGACGAGTTGAAGGAGCAACTCGGCGAGTTGAGTCAACTCGGAGTGTTGACTTTGACCGTTGACTTTTACTTGGACCAAGGTTGACCTAGTTTGACGTTTGAGGACATTTTGGGACTAAGTGTATTTTGTTACCGATAGCTCGTGGAGCCGAAGGAGTAGCAGTTCGGGGAATTTCCAGTTAGCAGCCAGAAGAGTATCAGCAGGACTTCAGCAGTGCGAGGTGAGTCTCCTCGTTGTGTGCATGGGTCTACGGCCACAATGCCGGCCCATTATAATTGAGTATAATAGGAAGACCCGGGGGTTAGCCCTAGACATTTTTATGATATATGTTCCGGATTACGATCCGATGTCGGGCGAGGCCCGAGCTATGTTAGTATGCTAGAGGTTTTTGTGATTTTTTCATGTGTCGGTAGAATGTTCCGGACTAGGGTCCGATGCTGGGGTAAGCTCGAAGAATGTTATATGTTGCAGAATAGTTGATACTTGTTGTCTTTGTGATACATGTATGTGCCTGGTAGGGAGGTGAGTGTGGGCGAGGTCCCGTATCTCACCACTAGCTGAGTACAGACGGGGTTCCGTATCTCATTATTAGCAAAGCAGGGGCGGGGCCCTGGACAGGGGAGAGGTGAGTGTGGGCGGGGGCCCGTATCTCACCATTAGCAGGAATATAGACGGGGTTCCATGACTCTTCAGTAGGAGGACAGGGGCGGGGCCCAAGTTAGGCGATGCCTTAGAACAGGAATACAGTAGAGTATGTTTGCTTATTGTGCTAGTATGTTTATGTGATTGTATATGTATAGCGGGTGAGGCCCGGAGACATGCGAGGCCTAAGAGAAGCAGATCTGTATACCGAGCGGGGCTCGATGCCAGGCGGGGCTTGATGCCGAACGGGGCCAATTGTCGGAGCGAGTCCGATGTCGGGCAAGTCCCGATGCAGTGGGCGGGGGCCCAGTATGTGGTTATGTGTGTGGTATGTGGTAGGTTGGGGAACTCACTAAGCTTCGTGATTAAGGTTTTCAGTTTTGGTTTCAGGTGCTTCCGGTAGTGGAGGGAAGAGCTCGAGATGACTGCATCGCACACACCATGATGCTTAGCCTGGGATGTTTTACTCTGATTTTTGTTATGAAACTCTGATGAAATGTTTTGATAACTTATGATTTTTATATGATAAGGATATTTATGGTTTTATTAATGAATTAAAATGAAATTTTTGGTCTTGATTTTTGGGATGTTACAATGAAGTTGATTGATTGTACCAATGATTGAATGCCAAACTCATCTTTTAAGAACCGAACCATCATTCCAACCGAAACCACCAAATCTCCCATGTAAAGACTTTAATACTTTAACCCAAATCGAATCACAATCAACCAAAAAATGCCACTTCCATTTAAGTAAAAAAGCTTTGATAAAAGCTTCCAACGAACCAATATCCAAAAACCACATTTTTGTTTATTGGATAAAAGAATCTCCCATTTAACCCAATGTAATTTACGGCCATCTTCGTCACCACCCCTCAAGATATTTGTAACATCCTGATGATGGTTTCTTTGGTACAAACGCTAGGTGTTTGGCATAGAATTCTAGG